GGTATGTGTGACACGTGGCACACATAGGAAATTACAAGGGCCAGCATCCGAACAACCCTGAACTGCCCCTCTTGGAGCCTCCTCAGGCGGACTGCCAGCTACAGGTGTCCAAAGGACACCCTAACCTGACCTGGTAACATCCAGTTAAGGGAATGGGGCAGCACTCAAACATGGGCAGACTGGCCACATGTGGGTGGTAATGGAAGGCCCCAGACAAAGAAGACAGTCCCCAGGCACCACAGCTGCTTCCACAGCTGAGCTGAGACCCTGAAACACCCCAACAGCCCGGAGTTAGGGCCCAGCTCTCAACCGCAGTGAAACAAACTCACAGACTACCTTCCCTCTCTTTCAAGCTGTCCTTTGAGAAAAGCATTTCAAGTCTCCCTCTCATGGGTGCTGTGGTCAGACTGCAGTGACAGCAGAAGACGGAGAGATCTTGCGTGTGACGGAAAGGAGCCACGAAAAGTCAGGGTGGCTCATAGTCCCCCTTACTCAAGGTTATCCTCTGCGCCTCCACCTTTCCCTCTACATCTCCACCTTTCCACCTGCGTCTCCATCGTTCCATCTGCGTCTCCCATTAGACTTCCCCACATGGCTAACATGCCGTTTGCGCCAAAGGAGCCAACTGCTCTGCTCCCTCAGTTCCTGGAATTTCATCTCTTCACATCTCTATCTTTAGGACGCTTGGAGAAAACCTCATCTCCTACCAATTCGACCACGTGCCCACTGATACCACAGTGCTCCATTTGTCCTGAATTTTAGCACTTGGTCGGCTTCACAAGCCAGTGGAACTCCACAGAGAATGCACCTGCTTTGCTGTTTGATGTACTCTGGCCCATAGTAAGCAGTACCCACTCAGGGAACGCCTGCTAAGTTAAAATAAAACCCCAAAGGTAGGAATTACTGGCATCTGCTTCAGGACTGTGACGAAGCCTGAGTGTCTGCCTCAGCAAGCCACGCTGACCTCCCTTCCCTGCAGCCACCTCGGGATGTCCAGGCAGCAGGGCTCACTGCATCCAGAGGAGGTAGTGGAGGCTTCAGAGACAGACAGTGAAGGTTCATTTGTGGCCACTCGGTCTTTCGCCCTTATGCCAGGCACAGTGCCTCATTCCTTTTTTTTTTTTAAAGAGAGAGGCAAAGACAGAAACATCAATGTGAGAGGAACACATCAATTGGTTGCCTCCTGCAAGAGCCCTGACTGGGTCAGGGCCAGGGAGGACCCTGCAACCGAGGTACATCCAGGGCGGACCCTGCAACCGAGGTACATGCCATTGACCAGGATCAAACCCGGAACCCTTCAGTCGCAGCTCTATCCACTGAGCCAAACTGGCTAGAGCCTCGTTCCATTTTTTTTAATGAATCCCTTTGTTTAGCTCTTGGAAGAAGCATTACTTAGTTTCCAAGGGTTATACTTCCAAGGTGAGGGAGCATGACCCTCCCCCCTTCACTTTTTACCTTGACTGCATCCATGTACTTTGTCTCCACAGGGAACAATGGGATGTCCTCATCTTTCTTGAGGGTTTTGTAAATCTTCTTAAAATTGATCACATCCTCAGGCCCAATCAGCATCAGGCTGAGGCCTTCGTTGGTGGCACGAGCAGTTCGACCACTTCGGTGGACATAAATTTCCGAGGTGCGAGGGACCTGCCAAGGGAGGAACTGGGAGGTCACTATGTGGCCAGCACCAAGCACTGCTCCTCCCCTCAGGACCAGCAGCCCAATGCTGGAGCCTCCTCCCTCTCAGCCAGGCAGCTAGACACCTCTCCAGCACCGTGGACTGATCCAGCCCTTCCCAGCCCCACATTCAAACTGTCCCCAGGTTTACTCCCCGTTCCCTGTGCGGGCTCTGCCCTCCCATGCCCCTGCCCTGGTCAGGCCGTCAGACTATCAAGTGGGAAATGGCAGTCACTCTTCACTTTCCTTTCTCAACATTCCCATCTCTTCTCACTCAGCTAACTGCCCACTTCCCTGTGTTCTTTCCTCCTTCCTTTCCTACCTCTACGTGCTCACATCCTTTCTACCTTTACATGCCAAGCATCTTTTAGAAAGCACTTTCCAACCTCCCAAACTAGAAGCTACCTCTCCCTCCCATTATATATCTATATATACATACATACATATGTGTATGTGTATATATATGTAAAACGGCATATCGGGACAACGCTCCAACCAACTGGGCTGCCCAGCCAGGGCTCTCTCCCATTATATTTTGAAATTTTCTAATATCTTCTGCCTTAAATTATGGCTGCAGTCACTTCATCTCTAGTGGATCTGCTACTTCTTAGGGGCTAAAACTGTATAATGTTCACCAGATACCTTTTACAAAAACCGACCCAGCCTCTTCCCCAAAAAGAAGATTTGCTGAATTGAACTGGCTCCCTAAATTTGTTTTTTAAAGCATGAGGGACTAAAAAGGAGAAATGATGCCAGAATAGCTATCTTTTATTTGAGCGCTTTCCCTGTGCTGGGTGCTTCATCAGCATTAGCTCATTTAATTTTAGTAATAACTCTATGGAGTAAGTAGCATTTAGTCCCAGTTTATAAACAATGACATTGAAACCAGAGATGCTAAGTAACATGCCCAAAAGTAACCAACTATGAGGCAGCCAACACACATCAAACCGCGATATTCACTAGGGGTATACACAAATATTAACATCAGTATCAAGAGCTGCTAAAATTTAAGTGCTTATGCTGTGCTACATGGTTTTCTAAGCTCTTCACATGTAATAACTTATTTTACCTTAAGAACTTAAGAATTAGATACTATAACTGCCACTTAACAAATGCAAAAACTGCATACAAAGAGACTAAACAGCTTGCTCAAGCTGGGATTTAAGCTCAAGCAGGTCTTAACTTTCACACCTTTCTACTTCTCTACACCAGAGGTTCTCAATCTGTGGGTCACCAACCTGTGGGTCACGACCCCTTTGGGGGTTGAATGATCCTTTCACAGGGGTCGCCTAAAACCATCGGAAAACACATATATAATTGCATATTGTTTTTGTGACTAATCACTATGCTTTCATTATGTTCAATCTGTAACAATGAAAATACATTGTGCATATCAGATATTTACATTACAATTCATAACAGTAGCAAAATTACAGTTATGAAGTAGTAACGAAAATAATTTTATGGTTGGAGGTCACCACAGCACGAGGAACTGTATTAAAGGGAAGAGGCATTAGGAAGGTTGAGAATCACTGCTCTACACCAAAGTAACCACTCTATATGCTGAACTGATTATCCCCACCTCGTGGAAGAAACTAAGACTTGAACCGAGCAATCTCATGTAGCTTGTCCACATAAAAGAGAGGGGGAAACTAAGACTTGAACCCGGCAATCTCATGTAGCTTGTCCACGTAAAAGAGAGGGGCTCTTTGTATCAGACAAAGCCAAGAGGTTTGCGAATAAAGCTCACCACAGTGTTCCCACAGTGGCAACAGCTGGTTGTTCACTAGGTACCAGTGGTATTCTCTGTGGCATGAGGCCTTGGGACCAACAATTCCTCCTCCCTCTCCCTCTCTCCCAACCTCTGCTTTAAAAATTCCCCATTGGATACTGGGAACTCCAAGTTCCCTGATGCCCCTACCTGGTAATGGATGACATGCTGGACTTTAGGAATATCCAGGCCCCGAGCTGCTACATCTGTTGCCAGGAGAACACAACTGTGGTAGAAAAAGGAAGCTCATTAATGATACCTAATAGCTACCACTAATCAAATTCTTACCACCTGCTGAGTACTCCAAGCACTATAAACCCTTACAAACACCCTTTGAGATGTTATGTACGTACCTCCTTTTCACAGATTCAGAAACTTAGGCTCAGAGAGATTAACTTCCCGAGGTACATACATGGCTGTAATCAACAAGCCACACTCTGCAATACTGAAGACCACCTCAAGTGACTTCCATGCAGCCACACATATTCCAGGTCGGTGACCTCATCCCCTATCACCCTCCCACTTTCCTCCCTCCAGTCACACAGATGTCCTTACTCTTCCTCAAACATGCCAAACATGCGCTTACTGTCAAGCCTTTGCACTTGCTATAACTAAGGTCCTAAAAGGTCTTCCTCAGATACATTTCCTTACTTCTGCTCTGCTCAAACCTCACCTTATCGGAGAAGCCTCCCTGGCCACACACTCACACAGTCTGAACAACTCCCCGCACAACTTGACTGTTTAGCACTTAGTACCACCTGACAAACCATATACTTACTTTTCTTCTTTTATTTATATACTTACTTTTCAACTTATTATTTCCTTCCACTGTAATGTAAACTCCAGGAGACTGCATTGTTCACTGTGCTATTACCAGCCCCTAGAACAGCACCTGGTTCATAGTAAGCACTTGATAATATGTGTGGAGTGATGTTTCTTAATATCTGCACAGTTCGAGGAAAGTCGAAAACACTTGAGGTCTTAAAAACAAGATTCTGGGCCCTTCAGGGTCCAAACTCCCTGTATCTCTGAGGTAGGGATGAGGAATATGATGCAAATTAAAGGCTGTCAAACATTAAACCATTGCTCTAAGTCAGTGATGGCAAACCTTTTGAGTTTGGCGTGTCAGCATTTTGAAAAACCCAAACTTATCTCTGGTGCCATGTCACATATAGAAATTTTTTGATATTTGCAACCATAGTAATACAAAGACTTATATTTTTGATATTTATTTTATATATTTAAATGCCATTTAACAAAGAAAAATCAACCAAAAAAATGAGCTCGAGTGTCACCTCTGACATGCGTGTCATAGGTTCACCATCACTGCTCTAAGTCAAGGTCAACAAACTCTTTCTATAAAAGGCCAGGTAGTAAATTATTTTTGGTTTTGTGGGTGATAGTCTCTGTTGAAACTACTCAACTCTGCTGTTATGGTGCAAAAGCAGGCACAGAGAAACATGAATAAGCCTTGCTGTGTTCCAATAAAAAGTTACTAATAAAAACAGGCAGCCCTGGCCAGTGTGGCTCAGTGGTTGAGTAATGACCTATGAACCAGGAGGTGACCAGTTCAATTCCTGGTCAAGGCACATGCCTGGGTTGTGGGCTTGATCCCCAGTAGGGGGCGTGTAGGAGGCAGCCAATCAATGATTCTCTCTCATCAATGTTTCTATCTCTCTCTCCCTCTCCCTTTCTCTCTGAAATCAATAAAAATACATATATTTTTTAAAAAGCAATGAAAACATATTTTAAAAAGTTAAAATAAAAACTGGCAGTGAGCCCTAACTGGATAGCTCAGTTGGTTAGAGCATTGTCCCCATATTCCAAGGTTGTGAGTTCAATACCCGGTCAGGTCACATAAAAGAATCAAGCAATGAATACATAAATGAATGCATAAAAACATGAAACAACAAATTGATATTTCTCTCTCTCTCTAAGAAAATCAATTAAAAAAACAAAGCAAAAAAGCAGGCAGTGAGCCAGATTTGGCCTGTGGGCCAGTTTGCCAACTCCTGATCCAGTAAAGCAGTAACTCTACCTACCAACATTCAAAGGGAGTTAAACCAGACACTTGTTCTAGAAACTAATCGCCCTGTAACCTGACAAAAAACACTGTGGGCAAATGCCAATTCAGAGTCAGCCTCAACCGGCCCAGGCCCTCAGCTTGATACCTCACCCTGCTGCCTGAGCATCCGTCTGGCCCTGAAGCAGATGGTCAATGACAACATAACATGTAAGGCACGGCATGAGCTCTGGGGGCTGACAGGCTGGTCGGAGGCCCCGCTCTGTCGGGCTGAGAAACCTCGGGCAAGCTAACCAGCTTTTCTAGCCCTTACTGTTTCTCACCTATAAAATGAGAGTAATGATAACAAATGATAGTAAAGCTAACGTTTAGCAAGTATATACTACATGCCAGGCATTGTTCTAAACACTTTATATGCATAAATCCACTTAATCTTAACAGCCCTCTGAGATGGCTTCTATTATTACACTAATTATGAGAAAACTGAAACAGAATTTGACCAGCTAGAAGGGTACAGCCAGGATTCGATCTCAGGCCATCTGTTCCAATCTGTTCTCTTACCATCAGTCTATTCTGCTTCTTCTCAAGAACGTTAGAAGTGAATGAATATAGTAATCTATCTAAAATGCATCATAGTACTTACTCTATTCTTATGGTAGGTACTACTGTCACCACTGTTCATTACTAAGGAAGTTTCTGTTGGGCATTACCAGCAACCCAATGTACTAGACAGGGTAAGCCTGCCTCACACTGTTCAAAACAAGAGCACTTTATACTGATAAGGCCCCATAACAGAAGGTAGCTTCCCACCATCTCCCCACCATCCTGCAACCTTGACCCAATGGCTAGAGGCCGGGCTCTGGGGACAGGCCTGACTTACTCTTCCAGGCGAGCAAACTGCTCCAGGTTTCTGAGCCTCTGCTTCTGGTGCATGCAGGCGTGGAGCGTCAGCGGCATGATGTCTAAGACTTTGAGGAGCCCAGAGAGGCGTTTGATGCAGGAGATACTGTTGGCAAACACTAAGGTGCGGCCTGGATACTGCATCAGGAAGTAGTACAGATATAAGTCTTTCTCATCATTCTCACAATGGATCTTGGTCTCGGTCAGTGTCTCCACTGTGGCCTCATTTCTAGTGAGGTCAATGACCTTGGGCTTGCCCCTCATGCCAATCTTCTGCATGAGGATGTCCAATTTGGCAGTTTTGTCAATTTTCTTGGTATGTTTCTTGTGAAGGACTCGAGCAGGAGCTTGATGTACCAGGGTCAGTGTGGCAGAAAAAACAAGTGTCTGTCTCTTTGGGTTGTATTGGGAATCACTGAGCATCTCCAGCAGCTGTGAGAGCTCAGCGAAGTGGCCTTTCTCAACCATCCGGTCAGCCTCATCGATCACCAGGCACCTGCAGATCCAGACAGCCCCACATTCGCTGGTTAATAGCGGGTAAGAGGAATCATCTAGAACATCCTACCACCACCCCCCCCTCAAAACACACACACACACACACACACACACACCGTGAGGGCCTCAACTAATCTCCCTCATGCATGTTTGGTTTTCTGAAGGCCAAGGTTAACTGGTACCACATCAGGACACTTTATGACAGAGAGAAGGCACTGCACACACTACCAAGTCACCCCAGGCCCACTTCAGAACAGGGGGTGAGGGAGCTCCTGTCTCTCACCTGAGCTGCCGAAGGTTGCTCAAATGAGGGTGCTTTTCTTTAACGAGCTCCCACAGTCGGCCCGGAGTGGCGATCACAATCTCAGGCTGGCGGTGCAGCATTCTCTGCTGTTTCTGCGTGGACATCCCACCAACCAAAATAGCCGTTTTAATTCCTATGGTACATAAACATAAGGGACACCGTTATTCAGTCTAGTTGCTTTTCTTCCACAGCTGACACAGGCACCCCAGATTAGCAGAGGCAGTTACCAGCACAGCTCCTCTCTGCAGGGGGTGCTGAAAGAGCTGGTAGGGCCTAACTGCTGGTGCCACTCCTAGAGGACTTTCTAAGTCTGGGATCTGGACCTTGCCTACTTCCCCAACCTCCTTCCTTTCTACTCCCTTCTCTCCAACCACAACAGCTCCAGAAAAACTGAGCTATGCTGCACCACAACTGGGAATAATGTTACCTGTGGCTGTGACACACCTCCCCTGGGAAGCCTGCCCATTCCCTCAATTAGAATTCATCTGAATCTCCTCCAGTGCCTAGTATTCTCTCCTCCCTCGTGGAGGACTTCTCAAGGTATCCAGTGTGAAAGAAAACACACAGAAGCATGCAGTCAAAGCGCTTGGCAAAGTACCTCACATGCAGTGAGAGTTGGTAAGTAACTGTTGCTTTTACTATAAAATACACACTCCCACTGTGCAGTTCTCCCCAAAAGGAATTCCATGAGAGAATTAAGTTCTAATGCCATAAGGCAGAGGTCGGCAAAGTTTTCCCTAAAGAGGCAATCATAAACATTTTTGGCTTCATGGGCTAAATGATCTGGCACAACTACTGCCCAGCCAGTATGGCTCAGAGATTGAGCATTGACCCATGAACTAAGAGGTCATGGGTTCGATTTCCAGTCAGGGCACATGCCCAGGTTGTGGGCTCAATCCCCAGTAGGGGGCATGCAGGAGGCAGGTGATCTATGTTTCTCTCTCATCAATGTTTCTATCCCTCTCCCTTCTCTCTCTATAAAAAATATTAAAAGTGCTTTTAAAATAAAAACTACTAACTCTACTTCACTCTGCCTTGGTGTGCTGAACTTTATTTACAAAATCAGGTAGTTTGTCAAATCCTGCCCTAAGTATCCACTATATCCAACAAATTAATTTCCTGTGCATCTAGAATGGCATTAGCTATGTGTCTTTCTTAGGACAACTGAGAAAGTGGCACTCAATTTTCTGTAGAGCATAATTCTCTGGCAGATGAGAAGTTTCCCTGGAGGGCAATAGCCACAGCTCGCTCACCTCTGCCATGCCAGCACCTAGGACCCTCTCAGGAAACACTTACTACATGGAACTAAACCTCACCTGTGAACTTGGCCACAGCATCGATGTGCTGTTTGACCTGGACAGCTAGCTCTCGGGTGGGAGTCAGAACCAGCCCAAGTAGAGGACGCTTTGGATGTGATTTACAGGTGACGGATTTGACATCGAACTCCTGTTGTAGTGTTCCAGTCTGTTCATCAAGCTTTTCCTCTTTGTCCTCATCCTGTTTGGGGATGGACTTCTCCCTGATTAGGGAAGAAGGTCCTTCGCCAGCATCATCATCCCAGAAGGGCAGCACCTGGTCTGAGATGGCAGCTCCAGTCTCACTGGGCTGCGCTTCACCCTCTATCCCCATCTCATCACACATGGATCCAGACTCAGTTCCAGCCTTACTTGGTGACCCAGCCTCAGCTCCAGTCTCACCAGGTGGCGCTGCTGTGTTACTCAGAGCTGGGGTAGGCTTCTTCACCTGCCACTGCAGCACTGAATGAATCATTGGAATGGCAAAGGCCAGCGTTTTCCCACTGCCTTAGAAGTAAAACAAGCAAACAAAACAAGCAAAAACAGTGTAAATCAACAGATGCACATATTTTTGTCTGAGGTTCTTTCTTTACACAGAATAAGGAACCCTTGAAATAGCAAAGTACCAGCCAGACCAACCCAACACCCCGCCCCCCCAGCCCCCCCGCCCGCATAGGCTCCCCTACAGCACTGCACCTATAATTAGGAGCCGGAGGAAAACTGGCAAACTGACATTGAAATACGTCACCAATGATGAACTAAGGACAAATGTCCAAGCAATGAAACCCTAAAGAGATGGGCAAATTGTATGTGTGTGTTTTGTTGTTGTTGTTGCTAAGGAACACATGGGGGGGGGTGGGGGAGAAATGGACATCTGTAATAGTTCTTTCCCAAAACCTTTCTTTGTTGGGGAAGGAGAAAGTAAGAAAATCTTCGTTTTTGAGAAAATTTTAAATTGGCATACTTTGGTCTATGCTTAGACAAGAATGAATGGCCTCTGAATGTATATGGAGTCGCAATTCCTATCATGTGGGTGGTCAAAACAACCAAAACACCTGGAGTTGAGAACTTAAAGTAGTTCCAAAGTCATAAAGCCCAAGCAGAAACAAGTACATGAGCTCTGGACAAAGAAACCTTTATCACAGCCTCAAGAACACCCCCAAATAATTTTCAGAGGAAAACAAACAGCTCTCAGTATTAAAAACGCACAAAGAACGAGGTGCTATAGAAGAAACAAGAAGAATAAAAGAGCAAAAAACAGACCCACAAAACTTCAGAGAAGAAAAACAGCACTTTCCAGCAGAACCAATGAAAGCTAGAAGACAGTGTAACAATATTTGTATTTGAAGATCTGAAAAAATAACTGAGAATCTAAAACTCTACACTCAGCAAAAATTTCTTTCAAAGCAAATACAAGATAAAGACTTTAGGCATACAGAAGTTGAAACAATTTATCATCAGTAGAGCTAAACTAAAAAAAAAATATTAAAAGAAGTCTTTCATGCAGAAGAAAATCTGGATCAACAAAAGGAATGATGAGCACCAGAAATGGTAACATGAATCAATATAAAAGATGCCTTTTTTCTTATTTAAACTTCTCTTAAAAATAACTGACCATCTAAAGCAAAAACAACATAAATGTATTTGGGGATTCCTAACGCATTATAAAGCAGAAAATGAAAAGCACAAAGAAGAGGAAAAATGGAAATATAAGAGGCTGCCTGGGGATGAAAAGGAGGGAGGCCAGGGAAGGAGATTACAAAGGGGTCCAAAGCATCTTGTGGGGTGGTGGGTATATTCATTATCTACATGGGCAACAGTTGTCCACTGCCCCAAGCTTTTTGGATCTTGGACCTGCAGATTCACAACATTCCATGCGATGGCCTGATAGGAGCTGAGGTAGAACTCCCAATGTCAGGCTTTAGCCACAGTGGCTCACAGAACCTTGCCTACCTGCCTTCCAGAAACCCATTTCCACGCCTCTGCACACAGCAAAGCAGTGTTGCCAAATGCGTAATAGCACAAAGATCCAGCCTAGAAATCAGGCACCACAGATTTCAGCTGTGCAGGTTTAGGGACTCTGTCTATCCTCTGTGGTGCCAACTTTCCACATCAGTAAGGTGGGAACAATGGAACTTACCTCAGGGTGGTTGTGAGAGCTTAACACAGGGCAAGACACATTTTAAATGCTGAGTAAATGTTCTAACTCATTATTACCTTCATTCCCCTCGCTCTTCCATCTACTACTGTTCTACAGGAACTCATCCCAAGTTTCCTGACCACTTTCAGAAGGCACTAAATGTCTACATGGTCTAGTCCTATCCGTACCATAGAGTACTCACTAAGGCTACTGAGCACTTAAAATGTGGTTACTCTAAATTGAGATGTGCTGCAAGTGCAAAATACACAGATTTTTAAAAGTTTGTATAAAAAGGAATGCAAAGTAGCTCATTAACAATTCTACATATATTACATACCGAAATGTTTTTTTATAAAATTGGTTAAATATATTAAAATTAATTTCACCTCTTCTTTTTTAGATTTTTAACATGGCTCCTTGGAAACTTGAAATTATATATGTGGCTCACATTTTATTTACGTGTGTGTGTAATAAAAAAAAGGGTGATATGCTAATTAGACCGGATGTCCTTCTGGACAACCTACGGGACAAAGCCGGGGCTTCAGGTCCAAAGCAAGCCGCCACAGTGGCGAGGGCTGAACCCCTGGCACGAATTTCGTGCTCAGGCCTAGAGGCAATTGAGAAGCATGGATTCTGAGGCAACAAATATTTGCTAAGCAGCCTATAGAATACTAGGCCCGGCAAAGAAGTGAGGACACAAAGGTGTCTCTAACAGTGATGCTCCCAACTAGAGAACACCAAGGAAGGAAAGAAAGAAACCCACAAAGCAGGCAGTCTGGCTGCAATAGAGGGGACACAGGAGACAGAGCCAAGTATCCCAGATCCAATACTTACTGCTCCTGAGCCCTTGGAAAGAAAGCCCTACTTCATCCTCTCTGAACCTGTGTTCTCATATATACTAGAGGTCTGATGCACGAAATTTGTGCAAGGGGCATATATACAGGAGGCCCAATGCATTAATTTCGTGCAAGAGGCTCGGCCCCCGCCACCACGGCTTTCTCTGGAAGGTCTTCCAGAAGGACGTCCGCTCTAATTAGCGTATTATGCTTTTATTATTATAGATTGAGTGTGTGTGTGTGTGTGTGTGTGTAGAGGGTGTCCCCAAAAGAATATATTCACACTTTAATAGCTGATAGTTCAATTCTGAAACACACACACAACCAATGGCCTAGTTGGACTAAGAGTCCCAGGCAGTATAAGCTCTTCCCCCCACTCAGTAATTTAGTCCACCCAGGAAAAGTCAACCTGTCATTGCTTCAGAAGGTCATAGGTGACTTGGGGAATGCGGGAACTTTAAACAATGCCTAGTCCCAACAGGCATCTCATGCCAAATCTGCCTACAAAATCCACCTAATAAACATCCACCACACTCAGATCCTTCCGGCGACAATAAACCACCAACTCCCAAAGCAGCACTTTTTATCTTTGGACAATTGAGAACCAGACACTTCTTCCTTTCAGGGATGAAGATCCACCTCTCCAGAGAGCTGATCCTAGCCCTACTCTACTCCTCTGAGCCACTTAGAAAAGGCTCAAGAACAGGAAAAAACTACCACTTGCACATCACTTACAATGACTTCAATTTTACTTTACTGTGGCATTTACATTTCACCCACACACAAAAGAAACAGGCTGCTGTTGTCCCCGTTTTATAATGGGCATATACTGCTCAGGAGATCAGGCGACGTGCCGAGGGTACTGATCAGGAACAGGCAGAGTACGACTCCGAGCTGGCGGACTTCTAAACACCTTCACTAACAGTGCTTTCATGGTTCTGTTCCCAACACCCCCTCCCTCCCAGCCACCCAGCCTTGGCAGCCAACGGCTCCGTCCAGATGAGATGCCCTACCTGTCTCGGCTGCCCCGAGGATGTCCAGTTTGTCGCGGATGGCAGGAGCCAAGGTCAGAGCTTGGATTGGCGTGGGCGCAGAGAAGCCGAGAGCGCTGAGTGCGCGGAGAACTGGCCTGGGTACAAACAGATCCTTCCAAGCGGACACATCTGCCTTCTGGTCACGCACTTCAGGCAGCCATGTCTTGGCTTTTTTGGGCACTTGTGGAGTAGCTCCCTGGGAAGGCTCCGATTTTCTTTTCTCTTTCTTTTTCTTCTTTTTTGGAACAGTCAGGGCCGGGCCTCCTGGTGCCATCTCCCCTCCCACTGGCTCAGGACGGACTGTGCCATCTCCCTGGGGCTCTGGCTCGGCCTCTTTGACCTCACACTCTGTCTGGGCACTGGTTCCTTCAGACTCCACATCTTTGCTCTTCTTCAACTTCATCTTCTTCTGTGCAGAGCTACATTCTCCTTCCTCCTCGCCTTCTGGGACAGCGTGGGCCTTTCTCTTCTTGGGCTCTCCCTTTGAGAAGAGACTGGAGGGATCCTTGGCAGGGGAGACCAGCCGGTAATCCGTCAGTTCCTCAAAGCATACCAGGTCATCCATCTGCCCATCTGCAAACATGTTTGGGTCAATCTTCACCTGCTTCCATTTTCCCACAACCTTGATTCCCTTCCTCTGAAACTTGCCATGGCTTGGTGACTTTGGCCTTGAGTTTGTGTCCTTCAACTTCATGGTGGCTGAAAGAGAGAGAGAAAGGTTCCATTACGTTGGCAGCTGAGAAGCATGCTTCTGAGGCAACAAACATTTTCTAAGCAGCCGACAGAATGCCAGGCCCTGGGTGAGGACGCAGAGGTGTCTCCAACATCGACGCTCCCAGCCAGAGGACCCCACAGAAGGAAGGAAATGCACCCACGACGGAGGCAGCCTGGCTGCCACGGAGGGGGAGCCAAGTACTCGACCCAGTACTTACTGCTCGTGAGCCTGGAAAGAAAGCCCTGCTCAATCTTCTCCCAACCTGTGCTCTCACCTTTTTACAAGGAAGAAGGGCCTAATCATGTTCAAGTCACAAAATGGAGGACGAAGCCAGCCACACCCAAGCCATTTTGAAGGCAGAATAAAATGGTGGGTTTTTTCAGGGGGGGGACGGAGGGGGAGACAGCTGAAGGGGGTGGCTTCAATAAAAATGCACAGCTTTGCCCTGCTCAGTGGATAGCGCATTGGCTGCGGACTGAAGGGTCCCGGATTCGATTCCCGGTCAAGGGCACAGGCCCGGGTTGTGGGCTCCATCCCCAGGAGGGGGCGTGCGGGAGGCGG